TTAGGGAACCATTTGTAGGTAAGATTCAGCTCATAGGGATTTTGCCAGAGACTCCTGTCACCTTCCCTGGTGGTCTAGTGGTTAGGATTCGGCGCTCTCACCGCCGCGGCCCGGGTTCGATTCCCGGTCAGGGAAAATAGCTTTTGGTCCCGAAACTTCGAGACACATCCAGTGTAATTTTAAAAAAAAATCCTCTGCAATGAGTCTTCGACGTGGTGGAAACCAATGCTTCCCAGCACTGTTTTGGATATTAAGGAGCGTGCACGCGTGTGCGTGTGTACCCGTGTGTTTAAGGCTGATCTGTTCACCCCCGGGATTCAGCTAGAGGTGGACACCTTAGAGATTCTCTGCACTCGAGCTATCAGAAGGTCGCGGCTGCTTTGAGGTCGGATTGAGGACCCGATGGCTCCCAGTTTAAAGCTAGAACTGAGTTCAGGGCGTGACAAATGCTGACGAGTCCCCGGCGGGTACGGAAGGGCCTCCCGGAGCATGCCTCCGTCCGTGCGGTCGGGACGCGTCGATCCCCAGGAATCCGGGAGAGCTTCTTAGGCAAAGCTGCTGGTCTGGCGCGGGACGGCTGCGGTTCCAGGACAGCCGGCGAGAAAGGCGGGCCTCGGGGTCTCCCGGGCGCACGCGCGCGCTGGGTCGCAGGGCGCAGAATCCCACTCATCCCCGGAGGGGGGGGGGGGATGCGTGCCGTCCCCATGGAACTTCCTCTCCGGATCCAGTTGCGTCTGTGTTTTCTGAAGAAGCACAGCTGAGCCTCTCATTTCTCGGAATCTTAGGATCTTTGCGAAGCTGGACCCCTTGTCGACCCTTCTGCAAGCCTGATGATGATGATGATGATTTGCAGCTGTGGGAAACCTCCTCCTCCCCCTTCTCTCCACTCCCTTTATCATCTGGGGCTCCTACAGGAATCTCTGTCTTTCCCTCAGGAGAGAATCTAGGGGAGAGGGAAAGAGGTGGTCTGGTTTTGGGGCCCGTCCTGCTTCGGCCCAGTACATTAGAAGTCTACTTTTAACTTTAGGAGTCTAATCTTTTCTGACACCAACCTTTACTCTTATTTCTTTCCTCAGTGCATTCCTGAATTCCTCCAAGCAGGCCTTTCTAGAACTACACTAAGTTGGCTTCCTTAGCTATATGACCCCAGCATTTCTATCAGGACTCTTAGTTGTAATAATGTAATAAACATGTCCCGCTCCTGATCGTTCTGAGGTCCCCCTGTGGGCCTACAGACTGAACTGACACCCGCAGTCCTGCAGGGGTCAGTGTTTCTCCAGAATAGTCTCAATGGATTCCTGACCCCCCCCCCCCACTTGTTGAGTCAAGTTCTCTCAACAAACAAAACACCGTCACTTTTCTGTTTGTTTGATTTCTTTTTCCTCCTCTTCGTTTGTCATACAAAAATGCAAAACTGGAGAGAAAAATCAGTCCCTGGATGGATGCCCTTGATGATCCAAGATGAAGTTGATAAAGCACTGAGCCGATGAATAATTAGCAGGGGAGTGTGCTTGTTTTGAGTCCCTGTAGGTTCAAGTAGTTACAAAGCCGGCAGTCTCCCTGAAGCTCTGGCCCTCTTCCTTTAGAGATCTAGAACTGGTAATAAGCACAGAGTCCTAGAGGACAGGAGACTCCAGTTGGGAGTGGGGCAGATGGAGAGGGAAAGGACAGAAAGAGGGAGAGGAGATGTGTAGAATCTTTGTGCCTTACATAGACATTTTAGCAAGTTCTCCAGGTGATCAAGTTTGTTGCCTCTCCTCTCCCCTGCCCCTCTCCTGCCATCATGAAATGCAGCGATGATTCTATCTTTGAAATCCCGATGTTTAGTTGGAAAAGGGAGCATGGGATGTTAGCAAAGGGAATAAATAAATGTAGTATTTGTCTAGATCCCCTCCCCCCCATATACACACAGCAGTCAGAGACTCAAATTCACACAGGAGTTGAGAAAACAGGCTCTTGGCTCAGGATGTAGCGAGGGGCAGGGAAAAGTGAGGCTTTAGCTTGAGGAAGAGTAGGGGTAACTATTTCTTGGGGAGGAGTCACTATTTTTTTTTGTTAGTCATTTTATTAATTTCCACAGGAAATAACGTTTGGAATTTGGTAAAAGCAACTAATTTTCTATTTGACTGGAAAGATTGCCAGCAACAGAAGCTGAAGAGCCACAAAAGATTAGATTTTTTTCTTAGTCCCCAGTGGGAGTTGGGTCAAATTACACCTTGCTTTGGGCTAGTGATACTCATGGCATTTTCGGCAACGCGAATAGTAACTTTTGAGCTTCCTTTTGTGCAATCTTCTATCACAATTTGCATAAAGGCCTTTTATGCAAAATCGCTTAGTCTTAAAGGGTTAGATTTCCTTGACTGAAGGGAATCTTTTGACTCTAGAAGCAGCTCTGCCACAAGAATTAAGAGGAGAAGCACGGGAAGGACTTTATGTACCACCTTGTATTACAACAGGATTTAAACGATCTGGATTTGACAAATTGCTGTTTCAAAAAAGAATAGCCCTAGGCCTTGTGCTCCACCTTGGGGATGTATTTGAGTGAGCTGGAAAATTGAGCTGTCACAGAATTGCAGCTCCCATGAGACATAACTCTGCAGCACAGACAAGCGGCCCGCACTACCACTTGGGGCTTTCAGTCTGTGCTTGCAGGTAGGAGTCCCAGATTTTAGGAGTTTCTTTCTGCGCTACTTTTGTTTGGGTGAAAATCAGGACCCAGAATAAGAGTGTAAAGAAGCTGCAGTTACCTATAGGGAAAGTATGGAGCAAGCAGATTTGCCAGAGTGGTAGCGTGGCCGAGCGGTCTAAGGCGCTGGATTAAGGCTCCAGTCTCTTCGGGGGCGTGGGTTCGAATCCCACCGCTGCCAGGACTTTTAGCAACAAAGCATGCTTTATCCTGAACATTTCTCACACCCTGCCCCCCTTCTGAGACTCCGTATTTATCTAAGAATCAGATAAATACTCTCATCTGGTTTTTGAGAGGTAAGTATGATCCAGACTCTGTGTATACCAACAGATAAGGAATGCAGCTAAAATGCTTTCATGGGACATACTTCCTCGTTATGAATGTCAGACCTCTGGAGTCTTACCTCAAGGTGGATCCTACCAATTCCTCCAAATGAATCATTTGTCTTTGCAATCAGTGGCTGCCCTTCCCCCATCCTCTTCTTAGTGTGCTCATTTCATGTTTGTGGCCGCCGTTACATGGACTGGAAGAGACTTAAGCAGTGCCTTGCCTTTCTGGTAACTGAATCGGCACTAACCAGCGCTTGGAGACCTGCACTTCTTGGCATCCACATCCCATGTGGGAATATCTGTGGACTTGGCGTCTGTGTCCTATTGTCTAAATCATTCGTTCTTGGAAGTTGCTTCCTCCTGAAAGCCTTCCCTGATCTCTTTCTGTCTCTTCCACCTGTTCTAGAGTTACAACTAGGAAGGAGCCAGCCCTATGCAATTTAGAATTCAGCACAGTTCTCCTAGGGCTCCAGGGCATTGTTGTTCTCCTCCAAAATTTTTGTGTGTAGGTCTTGAATGATGACCCATACTTAGAAGCATGAAGAAACTAGAGAATACATGCATGATAAAATAGTCCAGTCACTAATAGATGCCCAGTGATGGTTGAGGTCTATTTCCATGGGTTTGTATCTGTATAAGTTGTGAAGGGTTTCTACACTGTTTTCACTGATGGACAACCAATTTTCAATGTTCTATGGTTCTAACACCACTGAGAGGCAATGCACATCCTCTATTTAGGGTTTCAACCCTGAGAATCTGAAGATATAGTTCAGCATAAACTTAAAACAACTGATTAGCATTGAAACCTAGGTTCTCCATATTGTGTTAGAATTGCTGAAATTCAGAGAAAAAAGGGAATTGGGGAAGGGCAGATTTAGAAATGATAGGTAATAAGTGTATACTGCTCAACCAATACTTTACACATGAAGGACCATGAAACCTGCTTAGGTTACAAATACTGCTGTATCTACCTGCATGATATGAATTCCTCTTTACTAGTAAGTTTATCTTTACAAGACTTTCTCTTATATCCATCCCTGTAGTTCTAGGAGGGAAATTCACCCCAAGAAAGTATAAAATTCTGAGTACCGATTGCCGAACTTTCCATTCATCTCTTCCATGTAGATTATCCTTAAAATAAATTTCAGGCAGTGGTGGCTGACATCTGTAATGCTAGCTGCTCAGAAGGCTGAGATATGAGGAGTGATGTTTGAAACCAGCTAGGACAGGAAAGTTCATGACTCTTTTTTTTTTTTGGGGGTCCGGTCGTGGGGCCTGAACTCTGGGCTTGGGCGCTGTCCCCCAGCTCTTCATCTCAAGGATAGAGCTCTACCACTTGAGCCACAACGCCACTTCCGGCTTTTTTCCTTTTGCTTATGTGGTGCTGAGGAATCGAACCCAGGGCCTCAGGCATGCAAGGCAAACGCTCTACCTGAGCCACCTTCCCAGCCCAAGTTCATGACTCTTATCTCCAATTAACAACAAAAAAGCTGGCAGTGGAGCTGTGACTCAAGTGCTAGAGCACTAAAGACTTGAGCAAAAAGCTCAGGGACAGCACTTGGGCCCTGAGTTCAAGCCCTGGGACCAGCACAAAAACAAAGCAAACCTGGTGAATAGAAATAGTGTAGTTCTGAACTGAAATAGTGTAGGCTGTTCCAGCAAGTTATCTAATTTGAAGAGGGACACACCAATTTTACACACACACACACACGTCACCAAGTTATAGCTAGGCAGAAGTATCAGAAGACTGGGTCTTACCATTGGCATCTGAAGCTCTAGTATTTATTGTTATCAAGTGATTGACAAACTATTGGAGTGAATGTGTTCGCTGAATAAGACGGGGCCAAGAAAGCATTTAATACCTAATATATGAAGAGGGACCAGTCTAAAATGTAGAAGGAAAAATGGAAAGTGTTAAGACCAGAATATTACACTCAGGTATGTGTGGTGAAAACACTGATTCCTGAAAAGGGCTGGGGAAATGATCACTGGAGAGATTTTCTACTCTGATCAAGCTCATGTGTTCTCTGAACTCCATGTTTTCTTTTCTTATGTACACTAAGACTGGAGCTCACTCTGAAAGCTTTTCCACACTCCTTACACTTGTAAGGTTCCTCTCTGGTATGAACTCGCTTATGTCCAATGAGCGCTGAACACTGGCGGAACGCAGCGCCACACGCATCACAGGTGCATGGCTTCTCGCCTGTGTGGATTCTTTGGTGCTGCCTCAGCACTGAACTATGATGAAAGGCCTTTCCACACACCTCACATTTGTAAGGTTTTTCCCCAGTGTGGATTCTGCGATGATGGGTCAAGTTTGACTTCCAGCTGAAAGCTTTGCTACACTCTAAGCACTTATAAGGTTTCTCTCCAGTGTGGATCCTTTGATGGATGGCAAGGCAGTGGCGGTCCTGGAATGTTTTCCCACAATCCCCACATGGATAGGGCTTTCCCCCTGTGTGTTCCCGCTCATGAGCCTTGCGCTTACTGTTATGGCGAAAGGCTTTCCCACACTGCTCACACTTGTAAGGTTTCTCTTTGCTGTGGATCTTGCTATGTCGGCTGAGCTCTGCCTTCATACGGAGGGATTTTCCACACTGCGGGCACCCAAAGTGTTTCTCCTGAGAGTGAATTCGTTTGTGTTTGCTTAGGTCTGAGCTCCGACAGAAGGCTTTCCCACATTGGTTACACTCATAAGGTCGCTCGCCGGTGTGGATTCTTGAGTGTTTGGTGAGAACTGAACTCCCACTGAAAGCCTTCCCACACTTCTCACATTCGTATGGCTTCTCTCCAGTGTGGATTCTGCTGTGGATGGTAAGAGCATGCTTGAACTGGAAGGACTTCCTGCAGTCATTGCATATGTAAGGTTTCTTCCCAGTGTGGATCATGTGATGGATACTGAGATGGTTCCTGGTCTTGAAGGCTTTCCCACAATCCTGGCACTCATGGGGCTTCTCCCCACTGTGGGTTTTCTTATGTCGACCAAGAGCTGATCTGCTGTTAAAGGCCTTCTCACACTGAGTGCAGCCAAAGGGTTTCTCCCCTGTGTGGATTACCTGGTGCATAGAACACTGCTTTCTGGTCTTGAATGCTTTCCCACACTCTGTACACACGTGAGGTTTCTCACCAGAATGCGTTCTCTCATGGAGGATTAGCTCTGAATGCCAGATGAATTTTTTGCCACAGTGGGTACATTCATGACATTTTTGGGCTGTATGGATGTTATCATATAGAATACATTTAGAGTTTGGATTGAAGTTGTGCCTAAGTACCGTCTTGTTCTTTGGTTTCTTGAAGGTTAATTCCCCAGAGCCTTCTCTTTCTTTTCTCAATTTCTCTCTTCTGGGCACATCCCCTCGATTCTCTAGCTGGTCATCTTGTATACACACCCCTCTAGCTGCAAGATCTTCAGCAATAATGTTAAGAAGATTTTTGTCATGTTTTACGCAGCAGACTTCTTGGTTTTCAAAAATCTCTTGTTCTAAACTTGTCTTCTCCTTCTCAGGCCATGGCTTGTCAGTTGACACTTATATGAGAAAAGAAAAAATGTCACATAATAAGTGAGAAGGGAGAAGTGATACAATACTGTGTGGTGAGTAAATGACTTTAAAAAACTATAATTTTAAGCCAGGTGCCAGTGGCTCATGCCTGTAATCTTAGCCAGTTAAGGAGGCGGAGATCTGAGGATCCTGGTCCATGAGACTCTTATCACCAATAAACCACCAGAAAACTGGAAGTGGTGCTGTGGCTGAAGTGGTAGAGTGCTTGCCTTGAGCTGAAGAGCTGAGAGACAGCACCAGGCACAGAGTTCAAGCCCCAGGACTGACCCCCCCCAAAAAAAATCTATCTATCTATCTACCTATAATTTTATTATTATTAAGGTGTTATACAAAGGAGTTACTCATTTCATAATTCAGGTAATATGTACAATTCTCTTTTGGACAATGTCAAGCTTCCTTTGCCTTCCCTCCTCCACATTTTCCATATCATGTATATTGAATACTGTGATTGAATTTGTTCACTCTTCCTCCCTCCCTTTCTGCCCCCACCCCATGTAACATTCTGTCACCACTAGTTCTCAGTTTTAAGTGCTCAAGAGAGGGACATGAGAGGTGAGGAGAAGAGGGGGAAAGAGAGGAGAAGATGAGAAGATGAGGAAGGAATATAGCCTACACAGAGTAAAAAATGGCTGCTTGAAAGGAAACTGCACTGACATTGAATCTCATGTGGGAAGAATCACACAGCAGACATGTGTCCATGTTAGCAGGACAGGATGGCACACACCTCTAATCCCAGCACTCAGGAAGCTGGGCCAGGAGGAGTGTGAGCATGAGTCTAGCCTGGGCTAGCAGGACCATATGAAAGAAGTGGGAAGCCCGGGGGTGCAGAGCCTAGTGTGCATACATAATTATAGAAATAATGAGAAGTTTATAGAATTTTAAATGCTTAAAGTGGAATCTTAAATTTTTAAATACTTTAATTACTTTTCAAATATTTCTCCCTACTAAGTAGGCTATTCAGGTGAGTGATAGAGAAGCTGTCAGAGGGGAGCAGACTTTTCTGAGATTTTGTTTTTGAGGGTAAATATGATACGAATTAGATAATGCCACAATAATTGTTACTGGGTTCTTTTTCTCTAAGTATTCCTTAGTGGATTTCCTTTCTGGGACATTCAGGATGGGTGATCCACCACTAAATATATTCTATGATCATTCTGTCCCATGGAAGATGGCTGGGCACTGGAAGCTTCTCTGTCGCTTACCTGGAGAGGTGCAGCTCGGGCACTCCTCATCCTGTGGATGCTGATTACAAGGCTTGGGTCTTTGCTCCAGATGGGAGATCAAAGGAGGTTTAGGAAACAGAAGTCCTGATAGCAGAAAAGGAGAAAGAATGAGTAGGACCACACAGAACTCTCTTAATACTTTCAGTCTCTCATTTGCATATGAAGACAGGAGGGGAGGGTCCACTTAGGTAGAGAAAAGGATTTATTCTGGGATCTGGGAACAGGTAGAAGGACACATTTGAGGGACTTTCTTAGAAAAGCCATACTCAGGAAGGCCGAGAAGAACAGTCACATCTTGTTTTTAGGAAAATGGGATATCTGTACATAAAGTTTTAGGTTGGTAGAAAGAGATTCCAACTAGGAGCTGAATATATATCATTTAAGAGAAATTTGGAGGGTTGAGGAAGAAAGAACCCAAGGAAAACAGAAGGTGAAAAAAACAACTAGGATACTCAAAAAAAATTATTTGGTTTTATAAGAAAGGCAACTCAAAACTCTAATTTTGGGTAATATCCTGATGATGAAGAGGGCTATGACCTTCAATAGGAGACCCCATGTGTACCAGGAATATAGCCTTTTTTTTTTTTAAATAAAAGGAAGGGAGAAAGCTCTAAACCAAGTGCAAGGGAGGACCTTACCAAGGAATATTATGTTGTCATAAATTTCCAACATCACATCTTTGTAAAGATCCTTTTGTGAGTAGGTCAGACTCTGCCACTCCTTGTTTCACTTTTTTTTTTTTTTTTGTCCGTCGTGGGGCTTGAACTCTGGGCCTGGTCGCTGTCCCTCAGCTCTTCAGCTCAAGGCGAGTGCTCTACCACTTGAGCTACAGCGCCACTTCCTCTGCCACTCCTTGTTAGTGAAGTTCACAGCTACATCCTCAAATGTCATAGATTCCTGAAACATTATGTTCCTGCTGTTATGGAGAAAGCCCCGTAGCTTCCTCTGGAAACAAAGGCAGTGGGCAGGTACCTTAGGAGAAGGCTTACAGAGGTGAAAGGCCTCTACACTTCGGTGGCTATTTGGAATTTTGATAATGAAAATGAACAACAAATAAAACTCTCCATAAGCGGTTTGCCATCCAATAAAATGTGCCTCACAAGAGGGACATTTGGGAGTGATATAGCCAGAGAATGCAGTAAAAATAAGCTCATATTTAGGAGGCAGTGATATATTTTCAGGAGAAATGCAAGGGCCTCAGCTCACTTGGTCCTGGTTCAACATATCTGCTCCTGGCAGCTTTCCTTGACTTCTATCCTTAGTTAAGGCAGGATATGGAGGAATTTGTAGAGCTGAGGAAAGAAGAGTGAAGAGTCAGTTTAGAATGCCATTAATGAGAACTGCTCTCATTTCTTTAACAGATGCAGATGAATGTGCAGCTCTCACCCAGGGGTTCAGTCTACTGCTTATAGAATATCCACTACTCCTTCTCTGATCTTCGTTTTCAGTATCAGACCCCTGGCATGGCAGCCATGCCAACTGTAAGGGCATGAGTCTCTTCTCTCTTACAAAATGTTTTTCTCTGGACTGTTTTTGTTGTATAATAACCTATTTACAAACACATTCAGAAAAGAAATATCCAAATTTGACTCTCAGTTTTAAGGTAATCATTCTTCCTATACTGGAATATAGAAATCATTCCCTCAAAAAGACTTGGGGAGAGGAAGCTTGGCAAAGCTTCATATGCCTGTAGTTCTACAGACAATTGGGAGACTGAGGCAGGAGGATTGAGTTCAAGGCCAGTCTTCGCTACATAGCAACTTCAAGACCATCATGGGTTAGTGCCGCGGACCGGGTTCTGTCGGGACGACGGAGGATACCTAGGGGAGGAACCTGGAATAGGATGGGGAGATGGCAAACAGACAACTCACACACATTAGGAGTGGATGTTGAGTGCTGAGCGCTGAGTGCGATTTAATGCAGAGGATAACAAACTTTTATAGCAAAAAGTCTCCATAAGAAAGGGCAAAAGGTTACATAATCTTGCTGCAGGGCTTCATTCTTGGGTGGTTACCAGCTGGTCGCCTGATAGGCACGTGTTTCCGGCTTATCTCTAAGAAATATAATGGGTTTTGATGTTTGTCACCAACTAACCATTACCTTATTTCTATAGAGGCCTTAACCGTCCCATAAGATCTTTTCTGTTCTTTCTTTAATAGTAAACACCAAGGAGACTTAGATCTAGCAAGTCTCTTAGTAAATGAAAGAGTAATAGGAAGTTCTTTCTCCTAAGTAGTTATCTCAGCAATTGCCATACATTCTTTCTGTTCTAGCCGCGCCTACAGCTTTTTGTAAATCTCTTACAAACAATTCCTTCTGCTGAAGTGACTTTGTGAAACCCCCAATACTTTTATATTTGCTTATGGCTTGTCTACTAGCCTCCATAAGAGGGGTTTCAGGGTAGCACTTAACTCCGGTGAGTTAGTCATATTTTTAAGACACTCATCAGATTTTGGAGTCGTCAACACTCTTAAGAAAGAGCTTTGTATAGGGAATCGTTGACAATGAGCAAGTACACAAAGCAGTAGAAACAGTAAAAGATTAGTAGGCACTCTTATATAGAGGAAAAGAAAGGCAGAAACACATCTTTCCCAGGGGCTTGCCAGCCTTTTCCCAGGAGTAGGCCTCTTAGAAGCCCTATTCTCCGAGGTAGACTTCGGTGAAGTCCCAAAACTTGGAGATAGGTTTCTGTAAAGCCCCATTCTCTGAGGTAGACTTCGGTGAAGTCCCAAAACTGAAGCCCCTATCATGGTCTGATAGATGGTTTCCCATGCTAAGCAGACTCCACTGGGGTCAGCGTGGCAGGTTAGATACTGAGACCCCTGTTACCAAGCAACCAAGCAAGCAATCAAAAAAAACCCAATGTTGAGGTCATTGGTCTGTGAGACTCTGGGGTCACCTTTGTGCCTCAGGATCCTTAAACTACCATTTGAGTTTAACCAAAACTTTAAGTTAGAACTAAACTGACTCTATTATTATTAACCATTAATTATTATTATTACTGTTTTCCAGACAGAGTCTCATTATGGAGCTGAGGCTCACTTTGAACTTGCTACTATTCCTGGTTGATCTTGAACTAGTAATTCTCTTCCTGGGATTATATGCACGCAACTCCATCCCCAGCACTCATAGTCATTTTTCTTTTTCTTTTCTTTTTTTGGGGGGGTCCAGTCGTGGGGCCTGAACTCTGGGCCTGGGTGCTGTCCCTCAGCTCTTCAGCTCAAGGCTAGCACTCTACCACTTGAGCCACAGCGCCACTTCCGGCTTTTTTCTTTTTGCTTATGTGGTGCTGAGGAATCGAACCCAGGGCCTCATGCATGCAAGGCAAGCACTCTACCACTAAGCCACCTTCCCAGCCCCTCATAGTCATTTTTAAGCTAAAGAAATTAAAGGTCTGTGTTCTCTCTCAAGTTACAAATAACTTGAAAGAAAGGCTCCATGTAAAACAATGACACATGAAACTATTTGTTCAAATGATATACAAGTATTTTCTTGGACGAGATTAATATATGTGTATGTTAGGTAACTGCTGACTTTCTGGTCTTGCAAATGGGAGACTTCAAAGAGTTAAGAAAATGAAGGTGAGGAGAATCAATTCATAAGTATATTGATATATTTTAAAAAATAAAACACACTGAGTCCTCAAGTTTATTTTCTACTTCTAAATTTATAATAAATTTGTTTTACCCCATTGATATTCATTTGATCTGTTACATAGTATATATTTAAGATTTCTCTTCTGAAAGACTCAACTATATACCTAGAAATATATACAAAAAAGGCTACTTTGGGGAGTCCTTAGTCTTCTACCAAAAAGATAGAAAAGCCTGATTTTTCTGGGCCTTTCTGGCCATACTGGCATTTGAACTGAGGGACTTATTCTTGCCAGGCAAATGCTCTGCCACCTGAGCCATGCCTGGTCCCTGTTCCTGATTTTGACTCCCCAACTACTAAATATCATCTGCTAGGTCTCATTTCTATCCATGCCTTTTATGCAAATCTTAACAACTTTCTTCTTCACATATGCCACCAAGAATACTTCTAAAGCTTGGCCTCTCATTAGTACATCTTCTGTCATTTTCCCCAGTGCTTCATGGAAAAGTCTTTGTTCCCTCTTTTACCATTTAGTCTTATTTTTCTCAAGTACTTGTATAATTTAAAAATTTAAGGGTTTCCAAAAACGTTTCCAGAAGTAATCTCTCTCTCCCTCTTTCTCTCTCTGACCCTCAAGAGCCCTCTATGTCCCTATTCTAATCTCAGCTGTCTTGACATCTGTATGTCTCACCTTTATCCTCCAGTAGCTGGGTATTTGTGGCTATCCAAAGTAGCTTGCTTGATAGCCTTGGTGTCTCTTCAGAAAGCATGACCTATTGCAAGATGCAGAGTGAATTCCCTGATGGTGAAGAGATTAACTGGAAAGATGCAACCAACCCAAATTTTCTTCCAGAAATGCCAAAAGGGGAGAGAGAATGAGGGACTCTACCTGATTCACAGAAAATGCCTCCCAGAAATACGGAACATGGAGAGAAAATCGGGCTCCATACCTGATATACTTACCCAACTACTCTCTATATAACTTTAACGATCACCAAGTCAAGTAGGAAAACCAGTATCTGGAGTGAGCTCAGGTCCAGGCCCACCATCACTCCACGACTTTTATTCATGGACTCACTTTGTCTTCCTTCTTGTGATGTGCCACAGACTCTCCTCTTCTTACCTGCTGCATCTTTTCTCCCAGGTGACAAGATGATCACTTTGATCACTCTTGCTTTGTTCCTGTTGTTCAGCTCCAACTATCAAACAAGCAACGGCGTGGCTCCTGCTGTAGATGGCAGCCTCTCTCTGGGCTGCTCGTGTTGGTAGCGCCAGATAAAAGGTCCTTGCTGACCCACAGGGACGGTGCTATTTGGCTTGATACGTCAAACATGGACCTGGACTTGAGGTTTATCAGTAACATCAGGTCAGGTGTGCTTTCACATCTTGGTTTTCCTGCACAGTTGGAGAAACGAGGCATGAGACGACAGCGAAAAGCTCCGCAGAGGAACGGAAGAATCATCTATGGGAGATCAGGGAGCCCAAGAAAGACAAACGGAAGATGTAAATATGACTATACTACAATCTCTACTACCACCAAACGGGGTTGTCCTGATCGCTTTTGCTCGCCCCAAACATGTGTGTCTGCCTTAGTCAACACTGGATTGAGACCGGTGGGAGCGAATCAATCTATGAACGGATGCTGAAGGAAAGGGGCCAGGGGACCCCAAGAAGCAAGAATGGGAGGGGGTGGGTACAATGGGAGAGAGAAGCCCAGAGTGGAAGGGACTCCTTTTCAAATGCAAAGCCAGAGCACCGCGAGGTGCTCGCCAGCCACAGGGGGACCCCAGGGAGGAGGGGTCCAGAAGGCGGGCAGGGGGTGCCAGGCGCCTGCACCCCACCACCCAAGTAGCAGCGCAGGGCCGCCCTGCCTACCCCCGACCCCGAGCTGCAGACGCAGTCCCACGCGGGCTGCCGCACACACCTTCTCCCAGGGACTTTGCACAGAAATGAGAAGAACCTCCACTTCCGAGTGCGCCAACCGCCGCTTCCTGCGACGTTCTAGGAACCGCCACGACTCTCTGGTTACGCACCAGACTGGGGCGCGGCG